CCAGGAGCCCTTCCCCCGCTGGCAGAGAAAGCAGCCTGAGAGCCACAGCGACAGAGCCCATATGTTGCCAAGTCTTCCTGACAGATTCCTCCCCGGCCCTACATTGGGGTGATAATTTCCGGTCATGAATTTTTTCCGGGGCTCCTCCCGGCTGTTCGGGAAGGAGCACTTCAAGTTCAAAAGCTTCCCCTTCAAGGGGGGGTTCCTGGGGGCCGGCTCTGTCCTTGGGAAAATAAGGATTGCTGCTCTCTTCTCATGGGGTGGCTCCGCCAGCGCTGGCTTCTTAGACAATTCCTCAGGGCTTCCCGGTCATCCTGCTTTTCCAAAACCCAGCCCTCCCCCCCCCCCCCCCCAGCCGGGGAAACAAAGGCATGCACTTCAGAGAGAGGCCAGCACTCTGCCTATAAAAAAAAATACAAGGTTCATTTCAGGAACAAAAAACGTTTGAAAAAATAAGGAAAAGAAAATCTGTAAAATCTCACCCAGCACAATGTTAGTTTTCTTGGGAATGACAGAAGCGGCACTCAGGGAGGGGAGGGCGGCTTCGGGACGCTGGAAGACTGTCGTGGTGCCCCTCATCCCAGCCGTCCCTCTCCACCCAGCAGACCAGGCACTGACAGCCCCTTCAGATACATTCTCTGACCTCACTGCACAGGAAGTACTAGTCAGTACAATGTGACCGCTTGTCAGTATCTCATGACCCCATAGTACAGGAAGTACTTGTCAATAAAACAGTGTGACCTCACTGAACAAGAAGTACTTGTCAATACAAGGTGACCTCACTGTACAGGAAGTACTTGTCAGTACAATGTGACCTCATAGTACAGGAAGTACTTTTCAATAAAACAGTGTGACCTCACTGAACAAGAAGTACTTGTCAATAATACAGTGTGACCTCACTGAACAAGAAGTACTTGTCAATACAAGGTGACCCCATAGTACAGGAAGTACTTGTCAGTACAATGTGACCTCACTGTACAAGAAGTACTTGTCAGTACAATGTGACCTCATTGAACAAGAAGTACTTGTCAGTACAATGTGACCTCACTGTACAGGAAGTACTTGTCAGTACAATGTGACCTCATTGAACAAGAAGTACTTGTCAATACAAGGTGACCTCATAGTACAGGAAGTACTTGTCAGTATCTGTGACCTCATAGTACAGGAAGTACTTGTCAATAATACAGTGTGACCTCACTGAACAAGAAGTACTTGTCAATACAAGGTGACCTCACTGTACAGGAGGTACTTGTCAGTACAACGTGACTGCACTATACAGGAAGTACTTGCAAAAGCAACGTGACCTCATGGTATAGGAAGTCCTTGTCAACAAATTCATTCCTTTGTCAAGAACCTTAGACATGGGGTTGGCAGTCCTGTTGTGGAGACAGCCATCAGTGCAATCCGTCGTCACCAACTCCAACAAGTCCCCTGAGTGTCCATCAAGGTCTCAGTGACCGGAGAAGGCTTCTTGAAGGAAGGGACATTACGCTGAAACTGGAAGCCCTGTGTGTGCAGGAGAGGTGCTTGGAGGAAGGAAGAGGTGGGGCGTCTGCACGTGGAAAGGTCCTGAGTCTGGGAGGAGCGTGAGACCCACAGACACAGGAAGGCCACAGTGTGGACAGCGGAGAACAGGCTGGGAGAGTGATGGGCTCTGGAGCAGCTGGGGCCAGATTACAGAAAGGACGGTTAAGCCTGGGCCTTTGGCATAGCAGCTAAGATGGCCGCTTGGGGGCTGGCACCGTGGAGCAGCAGGTTACACTGCTGCCTGAGATGCCAGCTTCCCATACAGATGCTGGCTCCAGTCCCAACCGCTTTGCTTCTGATTCAGCTCACTGCTAATGTGCCTGGAAAAGCAGCAGAGGATGGCCCAAGTGCTTGGGCCCAGCACCCACAGGGAAGACTCAGATGAAGTTCACTCCTGGCTTTGGTCTGGCCCCGCCCCAGCCATTGTGGCCATTTGGGGAGTGAAACAGCAGCTGCAAGACACCTCTCTCCCCGCCCCCTCTTCCTTTCTTTCCTTCTGTGTGTGTGTGTGTGTGTGTGTGTGTCCCTCACTTTGTAACTTTGTCTTTCAAATTTAAAAATCTTTAAAAAAGAGAAAAGAAAGATAGTGGCTGGGTTGCCCACATCCTAAGCTGGACTGCCTGGGTTCGAATTCCAGTTCTAGTCTACCTCTGATTTGAGCGTCCTGCAAATGCACACCCTGGGAGGCAGGGTCCCTACCACCCATGTAGGAGACCCGGATTGAGTTCAGGGCTCCCGGCTTTGACTTCGCCCAGTCTCAACTGTTGTGGGCAGTGGGGAGTAAAGCAGTGGATAGATCTCGGTCTCTGCCTTTGAAAGAAACAGGAAGGAGGGCTGCAGCTGGGGAGTGGTTTATATCTAAAGGTCACGCTGGCTGTTCTGCGTGAAAACAGATCTCATCCGAGCAACATACACATCTCACGGGGCAACATGGAAGCAGGGACAGTTTTCAGTTCTACCAGCAACAAAAGGTGGTAGCAAGACAAGTGGGATGGACTTGCAGTGGGCTCTGAGGGTCGAAGCCTCGTGGACAGATTGGACTGGCTGTGCAGGGGGACACAAGAAGACACCCCGATTTCGGGGTTGAGCCATGGTTGACAGAGGGCGGGAAAGGCAAGGTGTTTGGCAGCCCGTGGGATCTGGTTTGAGGTATCTATCAGCCACGTACGTGGCAGCACCACAGTGATCACTCAAGCCTGTGGCTCTGGGGTGGAGGCTTAGATGTGGGCCGGCAGCACGTTGTGGACAGTGTGGTCCCCTCCCCTGTGGGGTGGGATCAGAACAGGACAAGGGGAGGCCTGGGACACCACCACATGGAGAGAAGCCAGAACAGAGACCAGGAGGGTCCCCAGAGCCCTCAAGGAAGGGGAGACAATGTTTCAGGCCCACCGCCATGAGTGTCGCTAGCAAGAAGAGCAGTGGTTGGAGCTGGCAGTCGCCTCCCAAGGGCAGGTGGAGAAGCCCGGCAGGGTGGCAGCCCTCAGAGGCAGCTCCCACGTGCAGCCTGCTCACCAGGGGCAGCAGCAAGACCGGCCGCAGCCCCCGGTGTCTGAGGCAGGGTCTGGAAGGGCCGGCAGCAGTTGGTCAGAGGTTGCAGTGAGCTGTCTGACCAGGGCGAGGTGAGAACCCATGCCCTCGGTGCAGCATCCCTGCGAGTGGAGGGTATGCTTTGGAGATGCGCCCCCTTGAGAGCGAGCAGTGCAGGTTAAAGCCTATGGGGTTTCCAGTTACTGAGGGAACGGCTTAGATAGCCGCCCCCTCCTCCCCTTGTTTTAGCTGAAGCCTCTGAAAAGATTCAGGGATGACTTTCTTCCTCCAAGAGCCACCTGGATATTTATAGCATCATTCAAGAGCCATACACATTTTTTTTTTTTAAAGATTTATGAAGTTTTTGAGAGGCAGAGTTAGAGAGAGAGAGAGAGAGAGACAGGTGTTTTCATCCACTGGTTCACTCCCCAAACGACAGCAGCAGCCAGAGCTGCGCCGATCCGAAGCCAGGAGCCAGGAGCTTCTTCTGGGTCTTCCACGTGGGTGCAGGGGCCCAAGCCCTTGGGACATTTTCTACTGCTTCCCCAGGCCACTGGCAGGCAGCTGGATGGGAAGTGAGCAGCCGGAAAGAGAACAGGGGAAAGATGGCGATTTAAGTGATTTCTGGACCGCGGAGGGGCGGCACTGGGGGCGGGTGGTGCCAGGTGCTCCGCTGAGCCCGCCTTCCTACAAACGCGCCCGGAACATGTGGTTGAAGGGTCAAGGTACCCTGACCGGCTCCCAGAGGCCAGGGCCGGCCAGGCGGGGTCCCAGGTGCTCCGCTCTGAGCCCGCCTCCCCGCAGGTGATGGTTCAAGTGCTCGGCCCCGCCCCCCTGGTGGGAGACCCGGGCCGAGAAGCACGGGTCCCGGCCCCGTGCAGCAGCAGCCCTGGGCTCTGTCCTCGCTTCCCACATAAAATGAAATTAAGCACAGTGCATCTGCCGTGCGGTACTTGAGGCCTCCGGTTTCGCTAACACCGAGGCCCGGGGCGGCGGGCACCGCAGCTTTCGGGGCGCGCTTGCCCTACCGCACTGCGCGAACTCTGTACCCTCGCTGCCCCGCACCCGGCTGCGCGGCGCCCGCCCCCGGCCGAACTCCGAGCCCGCGGACCCCGGCCTGCCCCGCCCCTCGCCCTGGGCTCCAAGGCAGGCCCCGCCCGAGGGCCGGGTGCGCCCCTCCCCTGTCCTGCCCGCTCGGAGCCCGTCCGCCGCCGGCAGCCCGCAGCCCGCAGCCATGGTGCAGGCCTGGTACATGGACGAGACCGCCGACGACCCGCGGCTGCCCCACCGCCTCCAGCCCAGCCGCACGGTGGGCCTGGAGCAGCTGCGCCAGCTCGGGGTGCTCTACTGGAAGGTACGCGGGGCGCCCGCACGCGCCACCAGCACGCACCGCGCGGCCCTCGGCCCGGCTGCCGGGGCGCGCCGCGCATGCGCAGCAGGGGCTTCTGCGGGCCGCACCTGCTGCGCATGCTCCGTAGTGGGGCTCGGGGGTCGCCGCCCGGGGCCCCGGCGCGCTGCGCAGGCTCTCGCCCGAACGGCGAGGGGCGTGGGCTCGTGGTCGGCGGGGTTTTCGGTTGGGTCGCACGTGCCCTGGGTCCGGCGCCCCCTCCTCAGGACCCCGCGGTGTTGCCGAGCGCGACCCGGGAGCCCGCGCCCGCGGCCCACGCAGGACTTGGGGTCTGCGCAGCGCTGCCCCGGGCTCTCCTGGTTGACCGTGTCCGAGCGAGAAAGCGAGCGCCTGTTGGCGGGGGCGCAGTGCTGGGCTTCCGAGCCGGCCCGGCGGGCCCGTTAGGGGTTGGCGCGCGGCTCGGACGGGGCAGGGGCTGGGGCAGGGCGAGGGGCGGCTGCGGCGGACCCCTGTGTGGCCGTTTGCTTCTTTCTAGCCAGGCTGGGTGAGTGGCCGAAGTAAATGCGCAGGCCAACCCGGCACCCGCCTGCTGTGCGCCGGACAGGGCGGTCCAGGCAATCGAGTGGGGTCTAGACGACGAGAGGAAGTGTTTTTTTTATTTGAAAGGCAGAGATAGGGAGGGAGGGAGCCTTCCGTCCGCTGGTTCCCTCCCCAAGTGGCCACACTGGCTTGGGCTGGGCCAGGCCAAAGCCAAGAGCTCCATCCTGGTCTTGCACGTGGGGCAGGTGTGGGGTGCTGGTGCCACAGTGCCAGCCAGCCCTGAGGGGAAGGTTTTGGTTTACGGTAGGATCTAATTTCCCCACAGTCTAAACCACCAGGTCAGATTACTGCAGTCCATTGCTTTCATCGTGTGTGGGGCAGTCTGAGACTGAGAATAAAATTACGAGCCAAAGAATGAAACGCTTTTACTGCAAAGTTCATCACTCCGTGGGGCCAAACCAGCCTCCTGCCTGCTAGTTCTGTCCTGAATGACACATCAAGTGGTGCCAAAATTGAATCGTATTTGCTCTTGGGTTGTAGTGTCCTGGGTGTTTTTATGCTTTTAAAAATAGTATTGGGGGGGGGGGAGGAGCTGGCGCTGCAGCCTAGTGGGTTAAGCCTCTACTGATGGGGGCTGGAGTCCCGGCTGCTCCACTTCCCATCCAGCTCCCTGCTAGTGCACCTGGAAGGCAGTGGAAGATGGCCCAGGTGCTTGGTCCCTGCCACCCACATGAGAGACCTGGAGGGAGCCCCTATTCCTGGCTTTGGCCTGGCCTGGCCCAGCCCTGGCCGGTGGGGCCATTTGGAGAGTGAACCAGGAGATGGAAGACCTCTGTCTCTGCTTCTTTCTCTGTAACTCTGCCTTCCAGATAAATAAGTCTTTAAAAAAATAATAACAGTAGCATTCCGGATCCTGGGAATAGATGGGGAGTGGTTTTGCCCCTTAGTGCCGCAGCAGAGGGGCGGCAGGCTCTCACACCCCCGGCACACACCTGGAAATTGCACTGTTGAGCCAGGACGCACTGCGCGTGCCAAGCAGTGCATTTCCTGAAGTTTGGAGTCACCGTGTAGAAAAGAATGGCTTGATGACTAGCACTTGAGACGTTTTGCACTTGGCTGTTCAGTACTGGTGATAGGGTGTCCATTCATTGTTCATTTGAAAGGCAGAAGACCTCCCATCCTCTGGTCACTCTTCTGCCGCACCAGCCAGAACCTCGATCTGTGCCTCCCGTGGGAGGCAGGACCCCACCTGCTTGAGCCAGCACTGCTGCCCCAGGGTCTGCATTGTAGGAAGCTGGACAGGAGAACAGGTGTTCTCATGGGGGATGTGGGCATCCCTATCTGCATTTAAAGGCAAAATGCACCGCATTTATTGCTAGTAGTCGTAAGTAGGAGCTCAGATTAGATCTGCCTGGGGCCCCAGGGGAGTAGTTCATGAAGAAGGGATGTTAGAATTAGACCTCAAAGAATAGATTCTGGGGTGGTGGTGTGGTGCAGTGGTCAAGCCAGCAGCTGGGATGTGTACAGCTCTGCAGCTCTGGCGCCTGGGGTTGAGTCCCACCTCCGCTCCCCACCAGCTTCCTGCTACTAACGCTAGCAGCCGTCCAGGACTCATCCCTGCCACCCTTGTGGAGACCTGGATGGAGCCCCTGGCTGCTGGCTTCAGCCTCTTCCAGTCTCACCTGCTGCAGGCATTTGGGGAGTGAGCTAGTGGATGGAAGACCTCTGTCTTTCTCAGCCTTTCAAATAAATTGTTTAAATAACATAAAAAAGGGTTTTGAGAAATGAAGAGGTTAAGTGGGCATTTTAGGCATAGGAAGCTTCATGAGTGAGGATATGGAGATGTGAAGTACCAATTTTTTTCTTTTTTTGATTTGAAAGTCAGAATAGAGAGAGAGAGAGAGAGGTCTTCCATCCGTTGGTTCACTCCCCAATTGGGCGCAATGACTGGAGCTGTGACTATCCAAAGCCAAGAGCCAGAAGCTTCTTCCAGGTCTCCCACGTGGGTGCAGGGGCCCAAGCACTTGGACCATCTTCTACTGCTTTCCCAGGCCACAGTAGAGAGCTGGGTTGGAAATGGAGCAGCCGGGTCTCAAACCAGCGCCCATATGGGATGCCGGCACTGCAGGTGGCAGCTTAACCCACTACACCACAGTGCCGGTCCCCCTACTTGTTTTGTAATGTGGATTTCTTTAAAAATAGGGGAACAGAGACCAATAGAAGTAGAAATGCCAGCTGGGGCCGATGCTAGTGTCCTCCTACCCCATCTCATGAATTTGAGTTTCCTCTGTTGGTGTGACCGTCAGACCTCTTGGCCTCGGGAAACATACTGACCAGAGAGTCCACAGAGGATCCATGAGACTTGCCAAGTAGGGAGGTGGCAGCGAGGCGGGATGCGGAGAGAACTTGGCCTAGAAATGTGAAGAGGGGCCCTCCAGGAAGGACGGTTGGAGGGAAGAGAGGCAGAGCCACACGGGACTCCACCTGTCACGAGAAGCAAGGACAGGCAGTGAAGGGGTTAGTCTCAGTCTGACAGAGCAGCAGCACGTGCACGTGGGGTGTGACCATAATGCAGAGCAGGAAGGGTGTCTCCACGGCTTGTGTTCACGGGACCTCCTGCTTTGGTAGCTGGATGCCGACAAATATGAGAACGATCCCCACCTGGAAGAGATCCGGAGAGAGAGAAACTACTCCTGGATGGACATCATCACCATTTCCAAAGATAAGCTGCCCAACTACGAGGAGAAGGTAAGGCCCTCCGTTCACACACCATTTCCAAAGATAAGCTGCCCCACTACTAGGAGAAGGTAAGGCCCTCTGTTCACACACCATTTCCAAAGATAAGCTGCCCCACTACGAGAAGGTAAGGCCCTCCGTTCACACACCATTTCCAAAGATAAGCTGCCCCACTACGAGAAGGTAAGGCTCTCTGTTCACACGGATGGCACAAGACTCACTCCCTCCTCTCGTGTCTTCACTAGGGCTTTGTGTCAGAGGAGTTCTGTCCTCCCTTTCCAGTGTTTTCTTTTTTAATTTTTAAAAATATTTATTTACTTATTTGAAAAGCAGAGTTACAGAGAGGAGGAGGCAGAGAGAGAGGTCTTCTTCTTTTTATTTTTAATATTTTATTTATTTGAAAGACAGAGTTACAGAGAGAGGGAGAGGCAGAGAGAGAGGTCTTCCATCCGCTGGTTCACTCCCCAGATGGCTACAACAGCTGGAGCTTCTTCTGGGTCTCCCACGCAGGTGCAGGAGCCCAAGGACTTGGGCCATCTTCCACTGCTTTCCCAGGCCATAGCAGGGAGCTGGATCGGAAGAGGAGCAGCCAGGACTAGAAACAGTGCCCATATGGGATGCCAGTGCTTCAGGCCAGGGCTTTAACCCGCTGCACCAAAGCACCGCCCCCCCCCACCCCTTTTTTTAAAGATTTATTTTATTTATTTGAAAGACAGAGTTACAGAGAGAGGTAGAGACAGAGAGAAAGGAGAGAGGTCTTCTATCCATTGATTCATTCCCCAGATGGCCACAGGGGCCAGAGCTGGGCTGATCAGAAGCCAGAGTCTGTAGCTTCTTCCAGGTCTTCTTCTGTGGGTGCAGGGGCCCAAGCACTTGGGCATCTTCTGCTGTTCTCCCGGGCCTTGGCAGAGAGCTGGATTGGAAGTGGAGTAGTCGGGACTTGAACTGGTGCCCATATCAGATTCTGGCACTGTAAGCGGAGGCTTTACCTGCTGTACCACAGCACCAGCCCTTTTCAGTATTTTCTATGTGTAGAATGGTGAGATTTTTTCCCCTTCTGTTTGCTAGATTCACCAGTGAAGCTATCAGTAAAAACTGAAGGTTTTTACTTTATTTTTATTTATTTATTTTTAGATTTTTTTTTTTGACAGGCAGAGTGGACAGAGAGAGAGAGAGAGAGAGAGAGAGGTCTTCCTTTTTCTGTTGGTTCACCCCCCAATGGCCGCTGTGGCTGGCGCACCACGCTGATCCAAAGCCAGGAGCCAGGTGCTTCTCCTGGTCTCCCATGCAGGTGCAGGGCCCAAAGGCTTGGGCCATTCTCCACTGCACTCCCCGGGCCATAGCAGAGAGCTGGCCTAGAAGAGGAGCAACTGGGACAGAATCCCCAGGCACCACAGGCGGAGGATTAGCCTAGTGAGCCATGGCGCCGGCCTTTTACTTTATTTTTAATATTTATTTATTTACTTGAAAGGGAGAGAAAGTTTCCATCCACTGGTTCACTCCCCAGAAGATCAGAGTGGCCAGGGCTGGGCCAGGCCAAAGCCAGGAGCTGGGAACTCCATTTAGGAGCCAGGAACTGCCCACATGGGTAGCATGGGCCCAACTACTTGGGCCATTTCCCACTTGTTCCCAGGCAGATTAGAGAGTAGCCAGAAGTGGAACCAGCTCTCCAATATAGGATGCCTTGGATATAGGGATTGCAAATGGTGGCTTAACCTGCTGCTCCATGGTGCCCCTCATTTGTTGGAAGGTTTTGGCCTAATAGACACGGCCTGCCCCGTGATCTGCTTGTTCTTGAATGAGTTTTGTAGTTCCTGTTTTCAAGGCATTGGTCTCCTTCATCTGCGTTGGCATATTCATTGGTATAAAATAATTCAGAGTATTCCTTTATTCTTTTAATATCTATAGGGTATGTGATGCTGTTCTTTCTCCATGATATTTCTGAATTATGTCTTTTTTTCCCCTGAGTCTGGCTACAGCCTTATCAGTTTTATTAATCCTCTCAAAGAACTTTGGGTTTCATTGATTTTTCTCTATTTTTTTAGTTCACTGATTTCTGCTCTGAACTTTATTATTTGCTTTCTTTTATGTACATTCGGTTCAGTTTTCTAGTTTCTTGAGTTGGAATGAGTTCTCTGATTTCAGCCGTTCTTTGTTTTGAACAGAGGTGTTCGGAGCTGTTCCTATCCTGGAGCACACTTTCTGATGTGTTATGTTTTTATTGCCATTTATTGGAAGTGTCTTGTAATTGATTTCCTTTTTGATTTCATCTTTAACTCAAGAAGTTTTTTTTTTTGAACATGTTAGTTTCCAGTTATTTTGGGGATTTTCCTGGGGATTTCTGTGTCATCGGTTTATAGTTTAGTTCTGTTGTATTCAGAGAATACACTCTGAATGAGTTGACTTCCGGTAAATATATCACGACTGTGGCTCAGGATGAGCTCTGTCTTGATGGCATTACACGAGGGCAGGAAAAGAGTGTGTGTTTGGCTGTTGTTGGCGAACTGCTCTGTGCAAGCTGGCTAGGCCAGGGCCGCATGGTGCTGTCCAGGTCGTCTCCAGCCTCCCCAGTGTCTGCCTGCTGGGTCCGCCAGCTGCTGACACTGCGGTGTCGAAGGCTCCGGCTGTATTGATGGGTCCCGCTGCTCCTCCTTGTTGCTCTCCCAGTGTTGACCGAGGTATTTTGATGCTCTGTTGTTGGAGGCGTGTATGTTCAAGACTGCTGTGTCAGTTGGAGAATTAACCCGCCTGTCATGACGTGATGCCTCTGAAGTGTTCCTGCCAGTTCAGAGCCCCAGAGCCAGCCCATCCCAGCTGCGATTCTCCCCAGTTCAGTGTGGCAGCTCGTCCTGCCGCAGGTCCCTCATGGATGCAACTACATGATTGATTCCCAGTTTGACTTTCTTCTTCTTCTTCTTTAAAGATTTATTTATTTATTTGAAAGGCAGAGACAGAGAGAGAAGGAGAGAGGGCTTCCACTCACTGGTTCACTCCCCAGATGGCTGCAATGGCTGGAGCTGGGCTGATCCAGAGCCAGGAGCCAGGAGCTTCTTCCAGATCTGTGACGTGGGTGCAGGGCCCAAGCACCTGGGCCATCTTCCACTGCTTTCCCAGGCCGTTATCAGGGAGCCGGATCAGAAGCAGAGCAGCAGGGGCTTGAACCAGCACCCAGATGGGATGCTGGCACTGCAGCGGAGCTTAACCTACTAGGCCCCAGTGCGGGCCCCCAGGCTCATTGCTTTGACCAGGTGTTTGGGTTTTAAGAGATTTTTGTGTATTTTGATCATAGCCCTTTACCAGGTGTGTCTTGCTGGGACAGTCGTCCATTTCTGGTTTGTCTCTTCAGCGCCTACAGAGCAGAGCGATTTCATTTCAGTGACGTCCGGCCTCTCGGCTCTTCCTCCCACGGCTTGGGTTTCGGTGTCACGATAAAGTCGTCGCCAGACTCAGGGTTGTCGAGGTCTTAGAGTTCTGCATGTGACATTTACACCCGGGATCCATTTTTGGGTTAATTTTTGTGAAGGGTGTGAGGTCTTTGTCTCGATTCAATTTTTGTCTTAATGTTGGGGTGATCTTCGAGGTCAGGCCCCCTTGCCGGGTCGATGAGTTCAGGCAGTCGTCCTGCTGTCCCTGGTCCGTCCTTGGCCCCGGGGACGGTGTAGCCCCTCAGCTGCACCAGGGATTTGCTGCAGAATTCGCAGGCGCGAGGCTGCTGGGTGAGAACGGGTGTGCGGTGAGGCGCTCAGGGCTGTGCTGGAAGCGCAGGTTCCTCGAGTGTTTCCCTGTAGACTTTCTGTGAGGAAAGCTTTGAAAGTCTGAGGTGCTTGCTGTTGACTCTTCCCACGTTTTTGCATGTTTGAGCGTTTGATTAGAACACGCTAGGGAGAAGAGCCCTCGGGAAAGACGCGAAAGTGATTTGAACAAAGGGGAAGTGTTTCCCCAGGTCATGGCTGCGTCCTTGCAACTGTCCTGGCTCCTCGCTGGCCCTTGTGTGCAGTGGCACATTGTGACTGCCACACGTGGGGCCCAGCGTGGAGCCAGGACATCCATGTGGCAGTCCCCCTATGTGACCCGGCCTGTCTGCGACGTGGGGCTGACCAGGAGGCCCCCTGAGTCGTGTGTGGAGCCCCGAGTGCTGCCTGGCATGTGGTGCGGTGGGGTGTTTGGCTCCGGCCCGGCACTCATGGTGACAGCCTTTCTGAGCGAGGGCCGTGCTCGTCTGCCTGGAGAGAGTTCTGTGGCCAGGGGTCAGGGCCGCGACGGCTCTCCAGGACGCTCACGCGGTTCCTCCTGCCCCAGCTTAAGATGTTCTACGAGGAGCACCTGCACCTGGACGAGGAGATCCGCTACATCCTGGAGGGCAGCGGGTACTTTGACGTCAGAGACAGGGAGGACAAGTGGATCCGGATCGCCATGGAGAAGGGGGACCTGATCACGCTCCCTGCGGGCATTTACCACCGCTTCACGCTGGACGAGAAGGTGGGTCCGGCCTTCCGGGACGGGCGCTCAGCCACGCCACCTGACGCAGGCCTCCTCCAGGACAGGGTGCCCCCGAGACGCGTCGAGACAGGAGCACAGCAGGGAGATCTCTTGCATTAGCGTGCTTGCGTGCTCACGTCGAAGGCTGCGGCTCTGAGGGGCTGCTGGGTGTGCTTGTGTTTTCTAGAACTATGTGAAGGCCATGCGGCTGTTCGTGGGAGAGCCTGTGTGGACGGCGTACAACCGGCCGGCTGACCATTTTGACGCCCGGGAGCAGTACGTGAAGTTTCTGGCGCAGTCGGCCTAGCCGTGCCCCGGCAGCAGCAGCGCCTTGTGGAGGCCTTGAATCAGGAAATCCTGCGTTTTCTCTTCACTGCTGTGATGTCGCCTGAGGCTGCTTTGTCTTTCCCTCGCGAGGACGTTTAGTGATGAAAGGAGCTGATTTCTGCCCGGTGGTGGTGGTGCGCGGTCTGAGTGTCACCTCCCAAAGTGAACGCACAGGGGCTCTGTCTGCAGGCCAGGCCTTGGCTGGGCGGCCTCTCCCGTCGGCAGGCAGCCTCGGGGTTGCTCGTGCCGCTTCCCTTCCAGAGGAAAGCAGCCGGGGCGGGTGTTGGCAGCGCTGACACCGCGTAGGATGCCCGCCTCCTTGGGTCCAAGAGCTGCTGCCCTCCCGATTCCAGCTTCCTGCTGATGTGCACCTGGGGGGCAGTGGTGATGGCTCAGGTGGGGGTCCCTGCCAGCCACGGGGACACCTGGCTTGGGTCCCTGGCCCCTGGCTGTTCCGGGCACTTTGGGAGTAAATCAACAGGTGGGGCTTGTTTCTTTGTCTCTCTCTGCCTCTCAAATAAATAAATAACTACAATAAAACAAAAATAAAGTAATAAATAATAAAGTAACTGCCTTAATTTTATGCTCAGCCTTGGAATTACTTCCATTCAGGTGTACATGGTATTTGGGCTGGTTTGTTAACATCATCCTTGGAGATTCTTTGTGTATGTATGGAATTAATTTTCTATGTTTATATATGTAGGTAACATATATGTTAATGTATTTTTAGTGTGAGATTTCTTGGTCCTTTCACTACCAAGCTTTTGAATTTTAATGAGAATTAGTACATGATTTTTCTGCTCAACAATTCTGAGACCTGGGCTGTTAGAATCGCACAAAAAATCCCCACACCAACCTCATGTTTTAGAAGGGCAGGTTGTTTTCTAAGTTATCTTTTATACACTGGATGAAAAATCTTGATGGTGAAATGCGTGCTTTGTCATTTCCACCGTGGTCTCGGACGTCCACTGGGCGGTGGAGCTGAGCCTGGGCTGTGTAAGGAGGCCCTGACCCGGGCGTGGGATTAAAACTGCAGATGGCCCCGGGCTGTCCCTGCCAGGCATAGCCCAGTGGTTAAAACAAGTGCTGGTCCGATTCTCCGGACCCGTTTCTAAACGGTGATGGTACGTAGACTTGTTACTTTTTTCTGAATTAAGCGCTAGACTGTCACTTTAAGTTGCCATTTTTCTTAGAGTAGCTTTTCTAATTGTGACCCCTGGGGCTCCCACCATGGTGGCCAGCACACGCCCGCCTCCCAGGGCTCCCGCGCCTTCCCCCTGCCTTCCCGGCTTGTCCTGGAGGGCAGCTCTTCCGGCCTCCCCACACCCAGGCACTCGAGGCGTGGCCAGAGGCGCAGCCGCCAAGAGGACTAAGGTGAGGTCACGTCGTGTGGCATGCGGGTCTCCTGTATAAAGTCAGTTCTGCTGAGGTCTAATTCACACGTAATGAAATGTACCCAGTGTGCGTGCTCGGATGTGGCTAACGCGTATACAGTCAGCGATGCAGATGCCCAGCGTCACCCCCCCCACCCTGGGCAGCCCCGTGGATCGGGGTCACCTCCTCTGGAATCTGTGCTCTGGGGACCCGTGCGTCCAGCCTGTGTCCCTGCTGTCTCCCAGCCCCTCATCTGGCCCCTTTCTTGACAGAGTGTGGCCTCTGCATGGTCTGTAGAGCACTCGGCACAGCACTCCTGGCACAGCGGAATATACGTGGCTCCCGCATCCCAGTGCGCGGGGCCGAGTCCTGCCTTCGCTTCCCGGCCAGCTTCCCACTAATGTGTCCTGGAACCCGGCAGAGGATGGCTCAAGTGCTTGGGTTCCTGCTACCCACACTGGAGACCCGGATGGAGCCCCCGGCTCCTGGCCCAGCCCTGGCTAATGTGACCAGTTGGGGAATGAACTAGTGCACGGAGGATCTCTCTCATTCTGCCTCTTCGTTGCTCTGCCTTTCAAATAAGTAAATCTTTTTTATTAAAAGCAGCTCCATTGGAGCAAGAGGAGAGCAGCTGTGGCAGCAGCACAGGCGTCTGGAGAGGGAGACGTGGGGATGAAGGGCCGCTCCTTCTGCGGTCTCAGTTCCGGTTGAGTGTCACAGAAAAGGCTCCGTCAGGAACCGTGTTCTCAGGGTTCCAAGTCAGCTGGATTCCTCGGGAGCCGACGCCGGGCTCCATAGCAGGGCAGCTGGTGGCTTTCACGCTTGTGTGTCGGTCAGTTTGGAGCTGGCCCGCTTGCTTCCCGAGTCAGAGCTGAGTGCGTGTTTTCTCCGATGCTTCCTCTCGTGGCAGCTGTGTGGAGTTTGGTATCTGTGGCTGGAGTGCCGGTGAGAACACACGGGACCCTGTACTCGTCTGCGGCCTCGCTGGCGTCCATGTTGGCATTTCAGACACTTCTGTGTGTTCAGCCTCGCTTACTCCCGCCAAGGGTGACGCCGCGCCACAGGGACCCAGCTGAGCCCTGAAGGGACCAGCCCCCCTCTTCCACGGTGCACGTTTCCAGCCCTGACTGTCCAGGTGACTGCTTGGTCAGAAGCGCTGAGTGTTCAGCCTCCCCCGGGCCATCGCCTCTCCTCTCTCGTCCCCACTGGCTGTCCGTGTCTTCATCCTTGTCTTTCAGCACTGAAGTAGAAGCTGCTGCGTGCATGCGACGTCTGGGGGCTGAAATTAACCCAAAGAGTCCTCGCATCGACTTAGAGATCTGAACTCTCAACTCGCCCCTTAGGGGAGGCAGGAAGGCGGCCTGGACCAGGCGGAGCTGGAAGCCCGGTCGCAGCCGCGCGCGCACCTGCCCTTGATTTCTGCAGCTGTCTGTCCTCTGCCGTCTCTGCGCTGGGAAAAGTGTTGATCGTAGAATGAGTCAGCTGCTCTGTTTACACGTAAAACTCACCTTTAGCCTCCTGTTTCATCACGAGGCTTCTGTTGTGATCCGGCAGATTCGTCCCGGGGCCTCCATGCTGGCTGCCTGTCGCCAGAACCGCCGACCGTGTCTCCCACTCCGGCCCCTGCACGCTGGCTCAGAGACGCCCACTCTCAGCTTGCTTCCGGCCAGGGAGCCCAGCCAGATCACACCACCAGCGCGTGGATCGCTGCGGAACTTGGAGGAAGTACTCTTAATTTAAATGCCCACAAGCCACACAGGTTTTCAGCCTCCTTGGGGAAAGTTGTCCTGAGGAGTGTGGATGCCATCTTTGAGGGGTACAAAATGGACGGTAGAAATGCAAGCCAAAGCGTAATGGGCAGCTCACCGCCGATTTGGCCGTTTATTTGCTGGTTTGCAGGACCAGCCCAAGCCCTGATGGGAGCTCCTGTCTGCTCATAGCACCACGCACTCAGGATGCGTGTGCACATGTGTGCACACGCGTCCTCCACGAGCTCTCAGAGCGCAGTTGAGGCTGCCGACGACAGAGTGGCGGATGGGACGGCGCTGCTTCGGCTGCCTCCAGCTGTGCCTGCTGGCGGGGCTGGGGAGTCGACGCTGCAGCCACTCCCAGCGTTCTGCCTGCTGGGCTGCCATTCCTGCCTACACGGCGACCGTGCCTTCCCCACGGCAGTGAAGCTCTTCTGCTACGCCTGCCGTGGTTTGCAAAGAGCTGGGCCCCTGTCCGAGAATGGGGAGCCCTGATTGCATTGTGGGGTGGCTGTGGGTTTCGCCGTTGGCCACCGTGGAGGGACCTCGCTGTGGGGACCTGGGGAGCCTGGCATAGCAAGAGTTCAGTGTGCCTTGGATGGGGCGTGGGGGAGGGGAGACGCCCAGCCCGGGTCTGGCCCTGCAGACAGAAGGGGAAATTCAGCTGTGATCTGAAGAGCAGCCACTTGGCTGAAGGCTGCTGTGTGGAAAGGACATCATGTTGTTTTTAAACGTTTATTTATTTATTTGAAAGGCAGAGATACAGAGGGCGAAGGAGAGAGAGAGAGATCTTCCATTCACTGGTTCACTCTCTAAATGGCTGCAATGGTCCTAGCTGGGCAGACTAAAGCCAGGAGCTAGGATTCTCTTCTGGGTCTCCCACATGGGTGCAAGGGACCCAAGTACTTGGACCATCTTTTGCTGCTTTCCCAGGCGCATTAGCAGGGAGCTGGATCAGAGGTGGAGAATCTGGGACTCGAAGCTGCGCCCACATGGGATGTCGGCACTGCAGGCGGAGGCTTATCCTCTACACTACAGCGCTGGCCCCAGGCGTGCAGTTTTTATAAACCTCAGATGATCTTATGATTCCCAGAATGAAAGCAATTACTAAAACAATCCTGCATTCCAAAGATTTCAAGGTTAGGATGGAAGGAAATACAGCGTTTGAACTGGTGCTGCTCTGGGATCTGAAAGCCAGTGTGGAAGCAGAGTGGAGTCCGCCTCGTTTTAGAACGGGGCGAGGGAGAAACCACAGCCGCAGTGCAGAGACGAGTGACGCCTCTTCCAGGGAGGCCTTGTGGGACCATGGGGCTGTAGACACCGCCAGCTCTTTCAGGTCACTCCACGTCCATCTCTGTGTGGAGGCAGAAAGCAGAGGAGGAGCCAGCGTGCTGCAGAGGAGGGCCACGGACACCCACGCCTGCCCTCAGCACGGCCAGGACCTTGGCCAAGTGGCCTCCAGGCACTGGAGTGCTTCTGGAGGGCGTGGCTGAGGGGGCCCTGGGCCTGCCTTGCCTGCTGGGACGCTGTCTCCCCCTCGCCCAGGGCCTGGCTCTGCCCGGTTACCCCAGGGCTGTCCGGCCGAGGGGCCTTAGCTGGAGGCCTGCGGGTGTCCATCAAGCTGCAGTTCCAGCCTCCGCCAAGCCCCCGTGGGCGGCATCTGGATGCTGACTCCTGCTGAGGCCGGGCAGCCAGAGTGTGTGAGGGCTTCCCCAGCAAGGGGCTGCTGACCATTTGAAGTGCTTGGGCCACTCACCGCAGGGCACTGGGTCCTCCCACCCCTCTTGGTGACCTGTTAGGGGACTGGCTAAAGAGGCAGAAGGCGCCCTTCTCCCTTTGCCCCAAATCCAGGAGAAGG